ACATATTATAATAGTAATAATATATAAAATATTATATTATATTATACTGTATTGAGTATAATGCGCTTATAATATAATATATTATATTCAATAACAAATATAAATGCTGCAGAGGGCACGTAACCCAATAATAGTAATAATATAAACGTCCGGGCGGCCACATCGATAAGAGTATAGAACGCGCGCATTATCCATATTCTAGGAAATACGAAAAAGCCGTAAATAACAAAAATAGATAACTTTGAAAACATATAATCCCAATTAACATTATTTCGTAGAGGACGCCGAAATGACGTCAGGTATACGCAGCTATGTACCATTTTTATACTAAAAATGCCATAGGAGGGATCTAATAGGAAAACCGACGAAATACGTCGATGGACAAGTGTCCATCAGACGAACACCAGCCAAGACGACGAGCACTATAGCAGGACAGCCATAAGTCGATACGAAGTCACAACCCGTTTTACCATAAATTTACAATTCAATTAATTGGACTTAGAATATTTTCGTGTTAAATAACTACAAATAAACTATCATTATACCAACAACGTGTCATTTTAATTCAAAATACCATCAATATTGAGTTGAAGTAGTTGGCACGTTACAAATTGGCGCTGTGGACAGGGTGTCTCAAAGGATACTTAGAAGAACTTGAAAAACAATTAAAAAAAAAAATTTTTTCGAACTTCTAAAATTCAATCAAGGAGGAAAATCCATCACTGGACCAATGTTGGGAGCCTGTACACCTTCCAGCAACTCCGAGAAAGAATCCTGTACAACTACTTAACACCCAACTACAATCAACATTTCAACCGAGCAAATGGAAGCACCCGCTGTACCAGCTGCGTTTTTGTAAGTATGCTTAGGTAATAAATATCGTGGTGTTCGTCTCCTATGGTAAATGCATGACCATAGTATATAATAATAAGTGAAGAAACTAGTCGTGTTAAATAATATAAGAAATTTTAGGAACTTTGAATTTTCGTTTCAACAAACCGAAATTGTGTTGAATTTTACCAGTGTTTTAATAAAATAAATCGATAGTTTTTCAAGGATTAAAATAAATAACATTTGAATAAAATAATAGTTTATTTTAAAATAACGTCATGAATTATTTTAAATAAATTAAAACAATTTTTTAACTTTAAATTAAATTAAATAAAATTTTTATTTTCAGGTATTTTATGTTTCAATCATTTTAATAGAATAAGATAGATATTGTTCAGTACTTTAAGTCATTTCTAAATAAAATAAAATAATAATTTTATTTACAATAGATTTATTCAATCATTTAAATTAAAATAAATTAACAGTTTAAATTAAATAAATTTTAACCATTTTAATAAAATAAATTCATTAACATTAAAATAATTTAAATAATAAAATAATTTAAAATAATAAATTAATTTAAATAAAATAAAATAATAGTTTAAATTAAATAACTTTTATTCATTCTAATAAATTAAATTCATTAACATTTAAATAATTTAAAATAATAAATTAACTTAAAAAAAAATAAAATAAAAAAATAGTTTAAATTAAATACAATTTTTAACCATTTTAATAAAATAAATTCATTAACATTTAAATAATTTAAAATAATAAATTAACTTAAAATAATTTTCAATCATTTAATAAATTTAAAATAATTTAAAAATTTTTCCATCATTTAATTAAATTAAATTAAAATAATATTTAGTTTTAAACTAAATCTTCAATCTTTAAATAAAATAAAACAATAATTTATTTTACAATAAATTATCCAATCAGTTAAATAATTTAAATTAATAATTCAATTTTACCTTAACATAATAAATTAAATTTAAAATAAATTTCAATCATTTAATTAAAATAGAAATAGCACTTTGATTTTAAAATAATTTTCAATCATTTGAATAATTTAATTCAACAATTTAATTTAATCATTTAAGTAAATTAAAATAATAAAATTTAATAAATTTTAATCGTTTAGTTAAACAATTTAATTGTTCGGGATTTTTAATTTTCATATTCAAATATAATTTTTCTGATTGATTAATTATAGACATTTGTACCTACTATTTAAATTTATTTAAGCTGAACAATTTCTATTTTACGCATCAGATTATCGAATTCAATTGTGTTGATTATTATAATAATTTGAGTCAATTAATAATTTATAGAATAATAAAATTATTTTAGGAATAAATATAGTTATTGAAATACAACGGAAATTCAATTCAGTTATTTAGAGAAGAAATAAATTAAAGGCATTGTTTTATTTAATAAATTATTTCAGATAGTAATCAATTTGAGGAAAATTTATTTTATTAATTAATTAACAGTTATAGTTGAAATTATTTAAGAAGTTTTCTCTAGTTAACAAATTCCATTCTAGAAGCAAGTCATTGAAATAGTTCGTGCTGATTATTATAATAATTTAAGAATTAATTAAGAATAATTTTAAGTAAAAGGGGGTTAATTATTTACTGTTGAATATGTGGTGAATATATATATTGAGAATTTATTGAGAATTTTATTTAAAGGCCGTGAAGTAAGTCCTTGTATTTTGTGAATTTATTTAGACAATTGATGTCTGTGTTGAATTTTATTGAGTTTTATTATAGGCCATGTTGTAAGTCCTTTTGTTTTTGAATTTTATTGAGTTTTATTATGGGCCGTGATGTAAGTCCTTTTGTTTTTGAATTTTATTGAGTTTTATTATAGGTCGTGTTGTAAGTCCTTTTGTTTTTGAATTTTATTGAGTATTATTATAGGCCGTGATGTAAGTCCTTTTGTTTTTGAATTTTATTGAGTTTTATTATAGGCCATGTTGTAAGTCCTTTTGTTTTTGAATTTTATTGAATTTATTATAGGCCGTGCAGTAAGTCCTGATATTGTGAATTTTGAATTTACGACAATTGAAGTCGAGTTATTTTATTGAATTTATTATAGGCCGTATGTAAGTCCTTTTGTGTTATTTGTGTTATTACGACAATTGAAGTCGATATTATTGAATTTTATAGGCTATGCAGACGTGCATTTTAAGTCCTGATATTGTGAATTATTTGAAGACAGTGAGTCTATATTTTGAATTTTATTTTACAAGGCCGGAATAAGTCCTTATGTGTTGAAAAGAGTAGGTTGATTTATAAAGAAAAAATTTAATTCAATTAATACAGTAATAAGAGTTACTATTTTAAATAGATGTCGTATTGACTGATTAATTTGAATTAAGCAAAAAAAATTTTAGAGTAACTAGTTAAATTAAATTTTAATTTTAAATCGTATTTATTAATTAAATTAAAATTAAATCTAAGATAGGCAAGTTAAGTTAAATTTTTATTATTAATAAAATTTACTTTAAATAAATTATTAAGTAATCAAATTGGATTTAAGTATTGAAGCAATCGGGTTGATTGTAAATAATTGGTAACGATTGTTATTAATTATTTATTGTTAATTATTGCTGATGTATTTTGATTGTTTGATTATTTGATTAATAATTTACTGTTTATTTTACGCACTATAGTTATAGTTATTTCATTAAACTTCATTAGAGAATTAATTATTGCGTACGATTTAAAATTTTGTACACTAGTGTGTCAGTTGCACTTTAATTCCGTTTTCGTTTACACTGTTACATTAAGTGATTATTGATAAATGAGTCAAGAAGATAATAACACTAGTTTGACTGAAAGTGAATCTGAAAGTATACAATTGATAGATCAGGAACTTAGGGAAGTAGTAGTAATTAAATCAACAAGTTCTGATATAATTAGTAACGAGGATAGTGAATCAAGTACAACAAGTTCTGATATAATTAGTAACGATGATAGTGAGTCAAGTACAACCAGTTCGAAGGAAACTGATAACGAATCGGTTGACAACACAACCATAATTGATGATAAGAAATCTCAAACACCACCCACTTTAGAATCAGCTATTCAGGTTGCTAAGGACGAAGAGACCGAAATTAAGTCTGAGTCAGATGCATACCAATATTATGGAGGCAATAGTTCAGGTAGACAAGTAAACAACTCCACCAGGGAAACCAATAATTCTAATAGGCAGAATAATAATTTTAATAATCGTTATAATTACAATTCATCCAATAATAATAGACCTGACATAAATCAAGGTAATAGGAACAATTTCAACAATAATCAATACCAGCCTCGCAACAATAATAATTTTAACCGCAACAATGATTATAGTCGTAGTAGTAATTATCGGAATAATAACAATGCAATAGGTAACATACGATGTTATCAATGCGGAGGCAATCATTTTGCCCGGGATTGTGTACAGCATCGTAATAGTAACAATTCGCGTCCATCTAACAATAATTTCACGCGACAGCCTACTAATTACAACGCTCCGGTAGACGTTATATGCACGTATTGTAAAAAATCCGGACATGACGTTACCAAGTGTTTTAGGAAACAGAATAACGATAGGTACAATAATAATTCGGGAAACTTGCCGAGATCGGGCGACATGAGTGGCGCTCGCCCGATAAATTTAATAGCCGCGGTCGAGGAAGATTCCGACAATGCCTACACGTCGTATCAGTCTTAAACAACAATCATGTCACTTGCCAGTCTGTTAATATAAGAAAAGAATTTATAGAATTGCTGATAGATACTGGAAGCGATGTTAACTTAATAAAATTTAGTGCTTTGACATGTGACACACTAGTACACGAAAACAAAAAAAATATATTTAAAGGGAATTAATGATAAGATAGTGTCAACAGTAGGACAAATTAAGATAATTTTAAGATTTAATGAAGTTAATATTGAAACGGTTTTTCAAGTAGTACGTGATTCGTTTCCTATACCTAAGGATGGTATTTTAGGACAACAATTTTTAATGGAAAATAAGGCAGTAATTGATGTAGCTAATAATTCGTTAATAATAAATAATAAGATAGTTAATAAAATGATTAAGGATAGTTTATGTTTTAAGTTGAAGCCAAGGAGGAAAGTCTTGATATGATAAATGCTGTAGGCAATATGATAAGTTTAGAAATACATCAAACCAATCTCTACGAAGTACTACAAACAATATTCTTAATCTCTCATGAAGGACTTGATGCTGAATTAAGGATTTTAAAAAGCGTTCCAAATGGCTCATCAACAAAAGCCGTTTACGATTGGCTAGACTTTTTAAAAGAAAATCAAAGACAAAATGTATTTCCAAATTTTAAAAAGGTTTTAATACATTTTGCCACTATACCTGTCACGAGCTGTAGCTGTGAGAGGGTATTTTCTAAATTACCTATTGTAAAATCAAAACTTCGAAGTACTATGTTGCAAGAAAGACTGGAATCTTTTTTATTATTGTTTGTTGAACAAGAAAAATTAATGAACTTTCAGATTGAAGAAGTGATTGATGAATTCAAATCTATGAATAATGAAAGGGAGCGCAGATTAGTATTATAAGTTATAAATTAGGTTGACTAATAAGTATTTAAAAATTAAATTGTAATTGTTAAAAATTATTTTATTGCATTTTCTTTGTAAAAATTGTTTTAAATACGAAAAATAAATAGCTATTAATTTTTGGTGTTGACAAATATACAATGTACCTTTTCGCTAAAAATGTGCTTAAAATGTTCCTTGAAATAAAAGTTATATAGAAATATGTGCTGCACCTGATCGGGAACTCTGCGCACGCCTATGCCTGCTAGACACCCACGAAAATACGACCAACTTCGAGGATGTGACTGACCTGCTAGACCCCAAAACATATATTCACGTAAATTATATAGCTGATCCTGATGACACGAACCTGATAGACTCCAAAAAAACAGACGGTTGCTATAAGATTTTTATGGACGCCAGATATATTTAGAATTTTATTCACGTAATTTATTCTTTACTTTTGCGTTTTCGGTAACAGTAATGAACGTCGTCCGCTATTCGACGCAGTCGGATAGCATACGTGATGACGAGGCCCAGCCGTCGTATATTGTCGGATTGGCTTTAAGGGTGACTACGACCAAAGTCGAGGAACGTGACTGCCTGCTAGACCCCAAAAAAATCGCAGCGGCTATGTGATAATTGAATTTTTTTACGTCATTAACATAAGTAAAAAATGTTGACAGCTATCCGGTTAACTTATCCACTGGTAACCTAATCCACCATCTAACATCCACCAATATAACATCCTTATCACAAATCCACTATCCTTATCACTAATCCACTATCTTTATCACAAATCCACTATCTTTATCACAAATCCAATATCCTTATCACTATTTTTTATCACAAAACCACTCTCCTTATCATAAATCCAATATCATTATCACTATTTTTTATCACTAATCCAATGTCCTTATCACCAGACCTCTACATCACCCACGACCGCACCACGACTCACGAGACCACCGCTGCTTCCGAAATCGAAAACACTCATGACCCACACCCAGGGGTCTGGGGTGTCCCCCAGCGACGCTCGGATCCTACTATATAAAACGAAAACCCGTGTGGCGCAGCTTATGGAGTAAATCCGAACTGCTTAGTGAACCCGCCAATGAGAAAATTACATTTCTAACCGCGGGCGGTCTCCCGGAGCCGTCGCTGCGTTATCACTCCTCTTATCACTTTTTGCCGTTTTTTTCAAAAATCAAAGAAATTTCGGATAAAAATCGAGTTTTACCCCCCCCGGGGGGCCTCGGGCGGCCCCGTTCGGACCTTATTCGCGTTCCTCGGTAAATTTATAGTCGGCGCGCGGCCCTACTTTTTTCCCGGTGGGCCCGCGGCGGCGGATGTCGCGTGCGATACGAGCGCCGCCGTCGCGCGCGTTTTTTGCATTTTTTTTTTAAATTCGAGTTTTAGGCGTTTTAGGGCGCATCGACCTCCCCGTTTGGATCTTATTCGCGTTCCCCACTAAATTTAACGTCGAAACGTGGCCCTACTTTTTCAAAAACGAGTCCCCCGGCGGACGATTCGATCGCCGAGAGCGCCGCGTCGTCGCCGTTTCGACGGTTTTCTCGACTTTTTCGACTAGAGTCGCGTTTAGCAACTCTACGAGACGTCCGACCTCCCCGCCGGCGACGTATTCGAGTTCCACGCTAAATTTATAGCCGGCGCGCGTACCTACTTTTTCAAAAACGAGTCCCGGGGAGGAGCGACGTCGCTTAAACGAGAGTAGGTACCGATGGGGTATCGAGTGGGTAGGTACCGCTATATACGGGCATAAATACGTGCGTCTCGAGGTTCGATTTTTTTCGCGAAGCTCGCGTATTACACGTCCGACGGCGGCGGAGCCGGTCGTCCGCTCGCCGACGTGGTCGGATCGCCCGCTCAAACGCCCTTTGACGGCCGTCCAAACGGCGATCGCCTTTCGCGAGCACGGCGACGCGGCTTAAGAGTCATAGAATTGACTCGGAATTTCATCTGAGTAGGTGGCTAGGTTGGTTAGGCGTTAGGATAGGTGACCCGAGGGTCGTGGGTTCGAACCCGGCCGCCGGAATTTTTGATAATTTGCGGCGCCCCTGTTGGATGGGAATTTTTTTTCACTTTTTTTTTCCGTCGTTTCGCTATCACTTCCGTCTTATCGTATTTAACGAAAATGTTCCGATTTTTTTCAAAATTCGAGTTTTACCGCCTCTGCGGACTTCGGACCTCCCCATCGAAGACTTATTCGAGTTCCCCGTCAAAGCAGCCCTTGATACTATTTATTTCTATACACGGGCGTGAATATATGCGTCGAAGAGTTCGATTTCCTTTTTTTTGCCGCTTTTTTCAAAAATTCGAGTTTTAGCCCGTTTCGGTCGGATCGCCCTCAACGTTTGGATCTTATTCGCGTTCCACGCTAAATTTACAGCCGGCGCGCGGCCCTACTTTTTCACATACGAGTCCCGGAGAGGAGTGGCGTCGCGGAAACGAGAGTAGGTACGCTATTTACAGGCATAAATACATTTGTCGAGTCGTTTATTGCCGTTTTTTCTAAAATTCCAGTCCTAGCCCTTTTCGACACTTCTGCCCTCCCCGTAGACGACTTATTCGCGTTCCCCTCTAATTTTATAGGCCGCGCTTTCTCCCGGACAAGTGTCGCGGCGGACGAGTCGATCGCGGAGAGCGCTGCGTCGTCACGATTTCAACGATTTCAGGTCAAAATTCGAGTTTTACTCTTCGTTAGGATTTCGCCCGCTAGACCCCAAATACTATTACTTATAGATTTTTAATATATTAACGTTTGTTTAGTGTCTCATTATATCCATTAATATATATTTATTACATTTTCAATGATGTATAGGTACTGCGTTATGACTTATGAATTATGATTCATGTCCTGTGTGCACACATGTTATATTATAGGTATAAAGGTATTGTGTTATTGTGTAGGTATGTGTTTAATGTTTATGCATGCGTGTGTAATATTACGATTTAGGAGCAACACTGCGCGCGATACTCTCTACGTACGATCGTTATTATAAATACGTCATGAAGGTTCGACGCGGTATTCCACGCACCAACATGATGTTAGACCCGTGGTTACCAATATTATGATGACGGTTCCAAGACTATGGTGGGATACAGTACGCGGGGTCGGCTTACACTCGAACTTAGGTGGAGTGGAGCCGCGGGGGGACAACTTTGGCGACGCGAAACGCACAACCTGCAGGACGCCTCAACTCGTGACCGGCGCTCTTGCAACGCACATCAACCCGGAAAAGCCCAATACTGCCCAATACGTTGTATTATATTATATTATTATAATATTCGGTGCTTTTCTCGGTGTTTTTGCTTTTTGCATTGGGCGCTTTTCACATACCGGTGAGTACGACTTTTATATCTCCTACAATAATAATAATATAACTACAGGTGTATTCATGGCAGCGTGTATCGCGAACGAACATATTTTCACCACGTTTTTCGTCATTCGTTTTCCGCGCGTTTCGTGTTTTTTCGTACACCGCAAAATGTACTTTGAATACCTATAACGTTTTTTGTATCCACATTCGTATTAGCTGTGAGAGGTGTAGACGCGTAAGTCCGTTGGCCGTTTCGGCGCGTTACCACGTGTTTTATCGCTTGGAATTTTGCGTTAATAAAAAGCTGGGTACCTATGTAATTTTTCGTATTTTTCTATTTTGTATGTACATCACGTAAGCCGCCGGTGTGTACCTATTATTTCTAAAAATGACACACGAGTCGCCAAGTGTCTTACATCACCGCTGATAACGAACTGACACCGTCGTCCGTCATTAGTTTTTCATATTATTTAGTATTTACTTTTTACTTATTATTATACTTATAATATAGACTATTCAAAATGGTCAAACGCTGCGTCATCTGCGGAATTGTGGACAACATTGATGGCATTTCAGTACACGAGTATTTACAATTATTTTACACATCACGTTGATGCATAGCAATGTAATAAAATCAATAATATTATGTCACCTTTAGATTTCCAACAATCGACGTGTATCGAGTCGAGTGGACGGCATTTGTGGTGGACCGCGGTTTTCCTGTGACCAACTCATCGAAGCTGTGTTCGAGGCATATTGTCCGCGGTGTTGACTACGCTGCAGGAAATGCACAACGCCGACGTCTGCGGCACGGAGCAGTGCCGTCTTTGGTGAGTGTAGAAATCATAATATGTTCAATAAATATCATTTCATTGCAGTAAATCGTGACGGTTACACTTTGTCACTAATACTTTTGTGTACTCTCGTGAGTTTAATGTACCTACCGTGTGTGTTAGCAACCTAACTTACTTTAATAACTCAACTCTATGACATTCAACGTTTTTGTTGCAACATAATACATATTATAAGCTCACAAAAGGTACCTACTGTTTAATACACGATATCAAGTGAATGACATAATATAATAACAAAAGTCATGATATTACAATGATATACAACACATTTAACAGTATGGGAATTACTTAATATAGTGTTTTTTTAGATAGTGCAGCCCACTTCTTAATTATCATTCGACAAAAATGTCTGCAGTGCTAATTTAATTTAATTTGTTTGCTTTTATTCCATAGTATGTAATTATCAAAGAGTAGTATAATATACGGTTTAAATTCCTAATTCCTTACATGTTGTATACATTGTTTCTGGACCTACTTATACTTTTCTATACTACTATACTATACTGGCATATTATAATTGTATAGAAATTGAATTGTAGAACGACATTCAACTGTGTTACTGCTGTTTCAGGTTTCAATTGCATATCAAACCCTGGGTCAAGCTTATTTTAATATCTACATTAAATTATAACTATACTAATATATCCACTTTTACTATGAGTATATTGACCTAAACAGAACACTTAACGTTTTCTTACACAGTTCTCAATATTACTACTACTACTACTACTATTACTTAGTACCTAGGTCTACTCTCCTTTATTTGTAAGTACCAATGATATCATTTCACATCCAATGACAATAAGTAGTGTCTAACCTACGGTTG